CTTTAGTAAGCAAACAAACAAATAAATGCTTTTTTGTATTTGTTATTTCAAATTCTTTTTCCTCAGAATGCAGTTTCTCATTATCAAAACAAATTAATTTTGATCTGTGACCATGAAATTAGCCCTTAATAGGGTGGTTTTCTAAACCCAGAAAGTTTAGAAGAAATCAGTTAGGAAAAGATAGATAGTATTTTTTGTTATTGTTGTTTGTTAATCCTCACCAGAGGATACCTTTTCCATGTTTTTTGGGGTGGTTTTTTTGTTTTTTGTTTTTTTTAGAGAGAGTGGAAGGGAGAGGGAGAGGGAGAGACAAACATTGACATGAGAGAGAAACATTGATTGGTTGCCTCCAACATATGCCCTGACCAGGGTGGGGATTGAGCCTGCAACTGAGGTATACGTGCCCTTGACTGGAATAGAACCCTCAACCCTTCAGTCCAAGGTGGATGGTTTTAACTACAAAAAAAGAAAGAACAACAGAGTGCAAATTAAAATTAGAAAAAAAAAGCCATTTTAATTAAGAATTTGTTGGAGAGGATTGGCAAAATTGGAACTACTAATATTATAGTAATCTATACATATAAAAGCCTAAGCGACCTTTTGACTGTTTAATCTTTATGGTGCGCACTGACCACCAGGGGTCAGATGCTCAACACAGGAGCTGCCCCTTGTGGTCAGTGTGCACCCACAGTGGGAGCACCGCTCAACTGACCCACAGGTGCTAAATGCTGGGCTCACGGGCTCACAGGTGAGTGGGTGAGTGCAGCTGGGGCGTTGTGAGCCTCTCCCGCGGACACTCTGCCTGCACACCCCTCCCCAATCCAGACCAGACTGGGATCAGACTAGCATCGGACCCCGGCATCGGGACTGACTGGGCACAAGCCCACAGCCGCTTCTCGGTCATGGGTGTGCCGGTATTGCCCTGGGATGGGCGCTCGGAGCTCAGCGAACCTACTAAATCCTTTGGGGTATGTTGGACTGCCGGTTTCGGCCCGATCCCTGCAGGCCACGCTGAGGGACCCCACTGGTGCACAGGCCTCTAGTAATGTATATTGATAGTTTCCCTTGAATGAAGACATGGCTTCAGAACAGGAACTGTGCTTCTGTGCCTGTTATCTCTGTCCCACAGAGGGAGTATAAGTACTTTCTATGTCAGGGTTCTCTGTTACTGTGGAGTGTCTGGGGTATTTTCAGAACCCATTCAGTGTAATTAGGGAAGCTGAAGCATGGGGCAACTTTTGCTAATTTGGGAGTATTTTTTTTCTAATTACTCTGAATGTCATTCTTGGGGGAGTTGATTTGCGGGTTAACAAGATGATCTAAAACAATAGAAAAGAATAAGCTACTGATCAGAAGTGACTAAATATGATTTTCATCTTTCCAGGACAGATGGGAGTTTTGTGGTTCATGATATACCCTCTGGATCTTACGTAGTGGAAGTTATATCTCCTGCTTACAGGTTTGATCCCATTCGAGTGGATATTACTTCAAAAGGAAAAATGAGGTGAGAGCAACTGATTTAATTTCTACCAAAGTGTGGGCTACAGTGTTACTTAAAACATCCTTACCTTGTTTTAATCTGAGGATTGATAATATTGTAAAGTTGAACTTCCTTCTGCTCTGGTTTAAAAGTTATTTTAAATGTCCTAATGTGGTTATATAGAGAAGAGATAAGATTACTTACTATAAAACAAAAGCACTGTGAAAGTTGTAAATGAAACGTGATTAAAGTTGGAAATAATTTAATTTTTTTAAGTTGGGAAATATTATTAATCACCTGTTTTTCATTGGGATTTTTTTTGAGAGTAAATCTTTTATTTATTATTATTTTTTTATTTATTTATTTCAGAGAGGAAGGGAGAGGGAGAGATAGAAACATCAATGATGAGAGAGAATCATTGATTGACTGCCTCCCACATGCCCCCTACTGGGGATCGAGCCCCTTGGGCATGTGCCCTTGACCAGAATCGAACTCAGGACCCTTTAGTCCATCAGCCGATGCTCTTTCCACTGAGCCAAACTGGCCAGGGCCATTGGGATATTTTGATAATATCTTAGTACCTATTTGATAGTGTGTTGACCTAGACATTTCTGTTTTCTTTTTTGGAATATTTAATGTGCAGTGGAAATTTAGTATTTTTTGGGGAAAATAATAGATTACATTGTAGAGTTTATTTTGAAGTGAGATCATGAGAAGAAAAAGAGAAGCACAGCATTAGAGACTGGCAGACTAGGAAAAATTTCAGAATTTGAGGAGAAAAGAATGTTGGATTAATTCAGGCTGTGAATACAGAATACCACAAATACATTTGCAGTTGAAATGAGTTGTGTAGATATCCACAATGTTCACATTCAGCCTTCTGTTATAACCTCCAATATGTTTATTTGTTTTATTATTGTATTCTTTTTGTCTAATCTCATCAGGAAGTATATGAAGCAGTTTTATATATTTACTTTTTTTTTTAGCTTTATTGAGGTATAATGAACAAATATGAGACAGTTTTAAATGGTAATATCTCTTCTTTGTTTGAGCTACCACAAAAATATTGCATGTTGCTGTAATAAAGCACGAGTCATGCAATGGCAAAAATAATTTGGGGGTTAGAGGAGCTACATTTTCTTGCTGACCTTTTCAGTATGTGCCAAGCCTATCCGGGCTGATTTGTAGCTACCCCAAGCTGAGATGACATAGAGGTATGTTCACTAGTACCGTAATACTGCAGTTGGGTTGGTGTTTACTTTTAAAATGTTTTTCTTCTTTTTTTGCTTTCTTTTAATTGAAAGTTTTTAAAGTATGATATGTAAATATGCTATAATTCAAATAGAGTAACACACAGAGCTCTCTTATCCTTTATATCAGCTGCGTATTAGACCATGAGTCGACTTGCTATCATTTTCATAACCAGCTCCTACTGGTAGACATGTAGGATTTTATTTCTCTCTTTTAGCATGTATAGTGAACAGGGTCAGTTATTCTGCAGTATTTTAAGTCCTTAATGTTATCACGAAACCAATATCAAGATGTCACTAAAAATACATTCTTTTTTAAAAAAATATTTTTTTATTGATTTCAGAGAGGAAAGGAGAGAGAGAAACACCAATGATGAGAATGAATCATTGATTGTCTGCCTCCTGCACACCCCCCACCGGGGACCAAGCCCTCAACCCAGCATGTGCCCTTGACCAGAATCGAACCCAGGACCCTTTAGTCTGCAGGCCAATGCTCTATCCACTGAGCCAAAGCAGCTAGGGCTAAAAATAC